TGAAAGGGTCGTTCGACCGCCAGAGGGGTCGTGACCCACAGGTTGAGAACCGCTGACCTAAAGCATGAACATTTATTTTAAACATGGTTGATTAAAAAGTAACAAGGTAAGGTTAAAGAAGCAATCTAAAGCAATGTATAGAAGTTGAAGGGGTGTTTAAGTGTTGAAGGGAACCTGAATTTTAGCATACACTAGCCAGGAGACAAGGCTACTTACTATATGAGGGACAAGGAGCCTGAAAAATTTAGTGTCATCAAGAAAAGACCTTTTCAATAAAGACAAGGAATTGGTTGTCAGCAATGCGTGAAAACAATCAGCTAATCTCCCTTATGGGTTCACAGGGTCTAAAGTTAACACAACTGACTTGGTATGGGAATCCCCCAAACTTGAAACTTAAGTGAAAATTGGTTTTGAACCTGGAACCATGTGAAGCCCTGTAGGAGACAACCACAAACTGGCCCTTAGGGTTGCCATTCCCATCCAGGGCACGTGTGGACCACTGCAGCAGATAATTCCCCTAAAGCAGTGGTTCTCAACCGTCCTAATGCCGTGACCCTTTAATACAGTTCCTCATGTTGTGGTGACCCCCAATTTCATTGTTACAAATTGAACATAATTAAAGCATAGAGATTAATCACAAAAACAATATGTAATTATATATGTGTTTTCCAATGGTCTTAGGCGACCCCTGTGAAAGGGTTGTTCGGCCCCCAAAGGGGTCGAGACCCACAGGTTGATAACCGCTGCCCTAAAGGGAATATAAATGGATCCATTATAAAAAGTATAATTTACAAATATGAAGCAGATTAAACAAAAATGGCCAGATGTATTTCAGCAAGAAGTCAGAAGTGGTGTGTGGGAAACAGTAGAGAGTAAAGAAATCTGCAAAATATGTTGGTAACCCTCAGTAAGTCTTGATTGTTTAAAAACATACAGAAGTCAAACAACTTGGGGTATATTAGACTAAATGTGAAAGGCAAAACTATATAGCTATAAGATAATATAGGAAAATAATATTACAACTTGTGACTACGGAAAGATTTCCTAAGACATGAAGAGCACTAACTATAACTATCAAAATTAGGTTCTGCAGTTCATAAAAAGCAACTATAGGAAAATGGAAAGACACAAAATGGAAGAAAACATTTGCAACACATGTAACTGTCAAATCGCTCATGTCCAGAATACACAAATAATTCTTACAAACCAATAGAAAGACAGTCCAGCAGAAAAATAAAGATACATAAATGCACTTTAAAAAAAGAAATATAAATGGCCAATAACCAAATAAAAAGATGCTTACCTTTATTAGTAACAACAGAAATAAACATTAAAATACAGCTCTCTACACTAGTCTGGAAAAAAAGTTTAAAAACTGATTTACTTGGTATTGGTTAGGATATGGAAAGGTAGGAACTCCTTTACAGATGTTGGGAGTATAAACTGGTGCAACAACTTTGGAAAATAGCTTGGCATTTTCTTCTAAAACTGCAGATACACAGTCCGTATTAAAAGTAGCCACACTATCATCCCAGAGGCTCCATTCACATTGTTACCTATAGAAATGGTACTACCTCCATTTGTACAGTACACAGCCTCTGTGGCTACATATAGAAGTGTTTTCCCCTAAGATCCAGCAGTTTTACTTCTTGGATATTGATTCTAGAAAACTTGCACACAAGTGTACAAAGTTCCATGTACAAGAACTTTCATAGTGGCAGTTCATAGTAGCTAAGAACTAGAAACAACCTAAATATCAATCTCCAGTAGAACAAATGGATTGTAGAATATTCATAGAGGAATACTAGACAGCAATGAAAACAAATGGCCTAGACTTACACAACAACATGGATGTACAGTAAAAACATAGTACTGACCAAAATAAGAAATGTTAAAAATACACATATGATTCCATTTTTATAAAGTTCAAAAACAGGCAAAATTCAACTACCTTGGTTTAGGCATACACACAAAAATGACCAAACTATTTTTACAAAATAAACACTTCCTTACCTCTAATGGTGGGTGGGGAGGCCTTCCTTACCTCTAATGGTGGGTGGGAGGCCTTTTGGAGTGCTTGTGATGTTCTACTTCTTGGTTGTTGCATGGTGTTCACTTTATAATCATTTGTTATACTTGACATTTATGGTTTTTAGCATTTTTAACATATATTTTACAATAAATAAAAGATTAGTGAAATAAATGAAAAAGAATATCCAGCAACTATTAATCAAAAGGACAAGATTGCATTCAAGGCAAAATGCATTAGGAGCAATAAATGGAGATATTAATCAAGAGGATATTATCAACTATGAATTTGTAAATACTTATAAAATGGATTCAAAATATGTAAAACAAAATTTGAAAAATTCAAGATACAGAGGCAGAGCTGCCTCAAACAGATTGTCAAACTGCGGTGGGAAGGCCGGGGAGGATTGGAGGGCAGGAGGGAGGGGGGTAAGAGATCAACTGAAGGACTTGTATGCCTGCATATGAGCATAACCAATGGACATAAGACACTGGGGGGTAGGGAAAAATTCAGAGATTTTAGTATCGCCCATAAACTAACAAGTCAAGCAGACAAAAAGTAGATTTAAACAACATAGTAGCTATATATGTGTGTGTATATGAAATTAGACTTTTTAAAGCACATGTAGAACAGGTATATAATTTATCACATAGTCAACAAATTTCCAAATACTTAATATCCAAAAGACCATGTTCTCTGCCTACAATGCAATAAAATTAGAAAAAAAGAGACAACCCTGAATTATTTTCTTCTAAACTTCTACTTTTAACCAGAATGAACTGACAGAAACCAAATTTACCCTTCCACCTATACCAACCAAAATCAAAATAACAAAAAGACAAAATACATGAAAACAACAGTTTTCAAGACACTGAATATCAGGTATGTGTCCACAAAAAGACCTGAACATGAATATTCATAGGAGTTTTATTTGTAGAAATAGTAAAAAACTGGAAATAACCCAGATTTCCAACAACAAATGAGTAGACAAATTATGGTCTATTTCAGACAGTGAAATACTGCACAGCAATAAAAAGGAACAAACTTAATAAATGCAACAACATGCAAAAATCCCAAAATAATTATTTCAAGTGAGAATACAAAAGAAGAGAACACAGCCCTAACCGGTTTGGCTCAGTGAATAGAGTGTTGGCCTGTGGACTCAAGGGTCCCAGGTTCGATTCCGGTCAAGGGCATGTACCTTGGTTGCAGGCACATCCCCAGTAGGGAGTGTGGAGGCAGCTGATCGATGTTTCTCTCTCATCGATGTTTCTAACTCTCTATTCCTCTCCCTTCCTCTCTGTAAAAAAATCAATATATAAAAAAAATATTTTCCCTTAAAAAAAGAGAAAACGCATTGTGTGACTCCATTTACATAAAATCCTATCAAATGCAAACTATAATGACTAAAAGCAGATTATTTGTTACCAGGGCAAAGAAATAACTTTTGGAGTGATGGTATGTTTATTATTTTGAATGTGGTGATGGTTTCACAGGTGTATAAGAACTTATCAAACTATATACTTTAAATATGTATAATTCATAGGTCAATTATACATCAATAAAATCGTAAGAAAATCAAGAGCTAAATATTTGCAGAACTATACTTATATTTTTACTAATTACCTGATAAAGAGGACTTAGCATTTTTACTAGAGGCATTGTCCCTCTCAGCCCTCCAAAAAAATTCCTAGGCCTCTGAAGAAGAGTCTGAAAAACCTTTGTTTTAAACCAGCGGTACAGGATAACACTCTAACCAAGTGAGCTACACTGGCCAGGTCCCAAATATTTTTTCCATCCAACCCTCAGATACAGGTCCTTTCACAAATTGTGGGCTAGTGTTTGGAAACGTAATTGCTGGCTAACAAAACAATTTTAAATCTAGAAAGAACTATGTCTAATCCCTAAGGTCACAACACCGAGGACCTGGATGCTTATCAACTGACATTACTCTCTCCACTCCAGCCTGCTGCTTCCTGGAAATTCTTTATAATAGTCTACACAACCACAACAAGAATAACTAAGAACTCTTCCTAGGCCTACTACTTATGAAAGTGAGGGGGGAGGGGATACAGGGCTGTGGTAGAGGGGAAGCAGCAGTAACTCAAAGTCTCTTATACTCATAGATGTGAGGCAGAACACTAGTCCTTTAAGAAAATAAAGACTTGAATACTGAAAATAAAGAATAAGTAGATGACAGCCAAGGGTGAACCTGCTACCCAAGGAAGGCTCAGCCTAGTAAGAGAATATGACTCATTATTCGTGAGTGATACAAATAAGTCACTGAGGACGCTTATGTTTGAAAATTCTTCATAAAAATTTTATTTAAGATCTCATGCCCTTATAAAAAGTACATTACATCAAGATTGCAAAAAAAAGACACTTTTTTATGAGAAAGTTTTATCTACGCATCTATGTTACCTCGTAATTCATTTCCTACCCTAACACATTTCCTCCTCCTTCCTTTTCTTACTCTTGCTTTGAAAGGATAAGTGCCATGAGGGATATCTTAAAAAGGTGCCATTTTCTTGCCAGGAAAGCAATATCTTCCTACTGGACTTAAGGGAGCCATTGGCATTCTTTGTTCCCAGAACCAGAAAGGTCACTAAATCCTGAACTTAAATGTGACCTTTCTATTATTTTCAATCTCTCCCTGAGTTTCTCTTGTACTTACACACTATACTTTAAATCAATCTTAAATTTTAAGCACTCAAGAATTGCTTAAGAAATGATTAAAGGGTCTAAAGTTAACTGACTACTTTAACTTAACTGTTTTCTACATAAGAATCTCAAAGTTAAAAAAAAATATGAGAACCCAATACAAAGAAGGGGATGAATTCTGAAAGTAAACACTTTTTATAACTCTTGTTTCAATGTAAGTTCAATTGTACAAAATAATTAGAATGTTAAGAATGCAATTTACACAGTAAAAATGATTTGTTTTCAGTATGAAAGTACTTTTAATTTCTTTACTGCAGGTACAATGGCATCCAAGTTATCAATTTCTGTAATAAAAAACACACAGTAATAATAAAAGAGTAGCACTGTCTAGTGATAGGCTCAGATGAAATGAGGATTTCTATGCAAAAGCAAACCTCAAACACAAAAGCAACAACACTGGTGCTTTCATGTACGTGACATTGTTCTCCAATAGTGATAAGAGTTATCAATAATTCAGACACAGATGCTTCACAGGGTATTTTGTTTGTAAAAGCTACCACATACCAACAAGCATTCACTGACTTTGATATTAAAGTCATTAGCAGTATGCTTTTATTAATAGACCTTTCTGGCCACATTTATGATATCATGTTACTGCCTCTTTAAGTCTGTACAATTACGTGAGTGAACCTACATGGTGAAATCCCAGGTAGAGGCCATCTCTCTCCTGGGTCCCTAAGGATTTCTTTGCATGAAACATAGTCCTATCCTTAATTCTTTTGGAAAAATTTCTCATTAGGATCGCTCTTAAGTATACTTTTTAGGATGAAACCTATCTATCTAATAAAAGATGTGAAGCTTCCCAAAGTACAAATATCAGATGCAATGTATTATAGAGGTTAGCCTGCTCCAGCTTCCCAGATGAATCAGTTCAGGTTTTTCTCCACCAGCTTCTTTCTGAATCTGATTTTTCTTCCTAAAACGATCTTTTCCCAATCAGCCTAAATCAGACTCTGTCTGAAAGCTCCTGGCTACTGAGGAAGCACAGTCCTTTCTCTGATTATCTAAACTCCATGCCCTACCTGGTTTGGCTCAGTGGGTAGAGTGTCAGCCTGTGGAATGAAGAATCCAAGGTTCGATTCAGTCCAGGGCACGTACCTTGGTTACAGGTTCCCTGACTGAGGTATATGCAGGCGGCAACCAATTGATGTGTCTCTCTCACATCGATGTTTCTCTCTGTCTCTCCCTCTCCCTTTCACTCTCTTTAAAAATCAATGGAAAAACATACTCAACTGAGAATTAACAACAAAAAATAAAAATAAATAAACTCCAACCCTACTTAAAGTAAGCCCCGGTGGCAGGTTCTCTAGATTCTCACCACTTTTTCTAGATTATTCTGCTAGGCCACTGTTTATGAACAGTGCTTCCTTAGTATCCACCCTTCTCCCTCAATGTTTAGCTGGATTTGGGTTGTTCTTCCTTTTGCCTACACACATGACCCATGCTGCTTAAGCTTCTGACTTCAGTCAGAATACTTGTCTGGATCCACTTACAAAGCATCGAGATAAAAGAAAGGAAAAAATAGAAGCAAATTTACAACACAGAATTTGGTTCACGCATTACATCCTGGTAAAGTATAAGAGCACGCTATTGTCTAACCCCATTCTGAAATCGCACATATTTTCTCACTAACTGGGAAATCTACCTGATAAATGAACCTCACAGAGAAGAATCTTGGCTGATACGAAAATTTTCTCAGATCATATGAAAGGAAGAAAGTCCTTCTCCATACCGGATATTCAGTACATCACTCTGTAGGACTAGATGCTTAATATAACATCTAGTCATTTAAAAAGTCATGCTTGCCAAAGCAGATTTAACTTTCCCAATGTTATATATATTTAACTCCAGAATTCCAACTGTGACTAAAATGCAGACTTCACCTGCAGGGAGATTTGGCTTCTTGAAGCAAATGATCTCACATGAACCATGCTGATAACATCTGAGAGGAAGTTTGTATAGAAGGATTCTAAAATAAGTGTTACCAGTACATCCATTAAAATATTTATTAATAATGAGAACTTCACTATTTAAGTTAACTATGCAGAAGCAAGTAAAATCATATTATTCTATACTGGGGGTCAAACCCACAACCTGAGTATGTGCCCTGACAAGAAATCAAACCTACCATCTTTTGGTAGATGGGACACTGCTCCACCCAACTGAGCCACACCGGCCAGGAATCATTTGTATATTTAAAAAACACAGTAGATAAGTACTATCTTCTAAAGGGAGCAAGAGGAGGAGGAGGAAGAGAAAAAACACTACCCACGGTCATAAATTCTATCACAGCATCAGGACCTAGCCAGAGTAAATTGTCACTTCTCATCTTACGGTCCCTGGACAAAGGCAGCCCCTTACTCCTTAAAGGATATGTGCTTCTCTGTTCTGTAGACTAATCCCAAACACCTCTAACTGAAAGCTAAGAGTGTTTTGCAGAACTACTCATGGTTTCCAGACACTTTCTACCAAACACTCTAGGTGAAAACACTAATTCAGTGACTTAGGAGAACGATCTTCGCTCAAACCCACGGACATCTTCAGACTTGAAATTTAAACACCACTAACAGAGATCTTACCTAAGATTTCAAGTAGATCATTAGTGAATGCCTGAAACGCTGGAAAAAATTCCTCGTGTTCTTGCAATTTGATGATAATGCTTAAAAAAAAACAAAAAAACAACATGCAGTTTACACTGAATTTCCAACTTAAAGTTCTTGCATCTGATTGAATATAGAACATTTTCAAAATAGAAATTGTCCTGCTAACTTAAATATAAATTTAATAATTTACTGTAATAATTTCTTTTGAGCTCTTCGTTCATCAAACATCACTTTTCTAAAATATATATATATATCTTATTATCAGTGTAAATATCTGTTCTAAGGTTAAATTTAGGTAAATTCATATAGTTTCCCTACCATGTAGCTCAAGGATTCTTAAGAGACCATGTTCTATAATATATTAAAAAATAATTGGCTTTGCCCTAACTGGTTTGGCTCAGTGGATAGAGCGTTGGTCTGCGGACTCAAGGGTCCCAGGTTCGATTCCGGTAGAGGGCATGTACCTTAGTTGCAGGCACATCCCCAGTGGGGAGTGTGCGGGAGGCAGCTGATCGATGTTTCTCTCTCATCAATGTTTCTAACTCTCTATCCCTATCCCTTCTTCTCTGTAAAAAATCAATAAAATATATTTAAAACAATAATAATTGGCTTTTATGGCCAGTATTCTCTTAAATATGAAGTATTAGTAGCCAGTAAAATGGTGGGAAGGGGAAAAAGATCAGTAGTGAGATAAAAGCATCAAGTAGCCTAGCCAGTGTGGCTCAGTGGTTGAGTATTGTCCTACGAACCAGGAGATCATGGTTCGATTCCTGGTCAGGGCACAAGCCTTGGTTGTGGGCTTGGTCCAGGTCCCTGATGGGGACATGTAGGAGGCAGCCTATCAGTGATTCACTCTCATCATTGATGTTTCTGTCTCTCCCTTTCCCTTCCTCTATGAAATCAATAAAAATATATTTAAAAATAAAAGCATCAAGAATCAGAAAACTAAAGTGTCAGGTTAGGAAAAGGTTCTTCTTAGAAAACTTATAGAACATATGGAATAGTGTGTGTTTTCATTCCGATATGTTATAAAATCTGTGTAGGGGGTGGGGAGGAAAGATTTTATAATAGAGATGCCTAGCTTTAAAAAAAAAAAATCCTTGCCCTAACCAGTTTGGCTCAGTGGATCGAGTGTTGGTGTGCGGACTGAAGGGTCCCAGGTTCAATTCCAGTCAAGGGCATATACCTTGGTTGCGGGCACATCCCCAGTAAGGAGTGTGCAGGAGGCAGTTGAATTGATGTTTCTCTCTCATCAATGTTTCTAACTCTCTATCCCTCTCCCTCTCTGTAAAAAATCAATAAAATTAAAAAAAACCCAACTCAACATTTTATCTTCTAATCAAATATGTAGTGTACTAAAAATAGAACTTGTTTATACATTCTAAATTCACATGAAGTTGCTAACAAGGTTTGAATTTCTCCACATATAATATGAAGAAAAAATGAGTTTTGCCCTGACCGGTTTGGCTCAATGGATAGAGCATTGGCCTGCAGACTGAAGGGTCCCAGGTTCGATTCCAGTCAAGGGCATGTATCTTGGTTGCGGGCATATCCCCAGTAGGGGGCATGCAGGAAGCAGTTAAATTGATTTTCTCTCTCATCAATGTTTCTAACTCTCTATCCCTCTCCCTCTCTGTAAAAAATCAATAAAATTAAAAAAAACACAACTCAACATTTTATCTTCTAATCAAATATGTAGTGTACTAAAAATAGAACTTGTTTATACATTCTAAATTCACATGAAGTTGCTAACAAGGTTTGAATTTCTCCACATATAATTTCCCCTGGGAACAGGCTTATAGCAATAACGCTAGATTATGTAAACATATACACCTTATGTAAGCCTATAGGCGAGTGATGGTGAACCTATGACATGCGTGTCAGAGGTGACACGCGAACTCATTTTTTTGGTTGATTTTTCTTTGTTAAATGGCATTTAAATATATAAAATAAATACCAAAAATATACATCTTTGTTTTACTATGGTTGCAAATATCAAAGAATTTCTATATGTGACACAGCACCAGAGTTAAGTTGGGGTTTTTCAAAATGCTGACACGCCGAGCTCAAGAGGTTCATGATCACTGCTATGGGCTCTACAATCTATTTTTATCTTGAAAATACTTGGCATTCTCTCCATCCCTAAGGTGTGAGATTATTTTAGATTGTCAAGTTATTTAAAGGATGCTATTCCAAACAGGAAAGGTAAAGAACTTAAAAAGTTGCGAGAGTCTTTAATTTTACCATGCTAATGATTCTGAATGATATTTTGCAAGCTTTTTAAAACAAATACCTTTGGAGGTCCTCAGGTCCCAATACCTGCATAACCTGTTTATTCATATCCTCATTAATCAGCCTACACAATTTTCCAACTGTGCTTACCAGCACACACAATGAGGATGAACTATCTGCAAAAAAATAAAAGAATAAGGTATTTTAAGCTAAGATTAGGAAAGAGCCTAAATGCCCATCAACAGATGACTGGATTAGAAAACTGTGGTACAGCTACACAATGGAATACTAGGCAGCTGTAAAAAAGAAGGAATTCTTACTATTTTCAACAGTATGGATGGAACTGGAGAGCATTATGCTAAGCAAAATAAGCCAGTCAGTGAAAGATAAATACCACATGATCTCACTCATTTGTGGAATATAAAGAACGATGGAATACTATGCTGCTCTAAAAAGGAAGGAACTCGGATGGCTTGCAACAGCATGGATGGAGCTGGAGAGCATTATGCTAAGTGAAATAAGCCAGTCAATGAAAGAAAAATACCACATGATCTCACTCATTTATGGAATATAAAGAACAATATAAACTGGTGAACAAAAATAGATACAGAGGCAAAGAAGCATCAAACAGACTGTTACACTATTGCAGGAAAGTAGGGGAGGGTTGCGGGGGATAAGAGATAAACTGAAGGACTTGCATGCATGCATATAACCATAACCAATGGACACAAGACACTGGGGGAAGGAAGGGAAGGGCATGTGCCAGGGGGAGGGGAGTAAAAAAGAGACACATGTACTACTATTTTTAATACTTTAAACAATGAAAAATAAAAAAACATGTGTGAAGCCAGATACCCTTCAGTAACAGAAACAAACAGCCTCCCCAGCTCTGC